CCAATAACCACTCCGGCATGAGCACATATGTCTATGAGAGCAGTAGCCACATTACTACTCTTACCAGCACATCTGCTTCTCCTTTTGCTCTACCCTGGGAACCCAGTAGCCCTGCCTAACCTCACCTCATCTTCTCGTCCATCAAGACGAAAACCGACGGCATGCAACAGGCTCACTAGTAGTGATGGAGAAGAACATAGGCCCACTACTAGTAGTAGCAGACATTGATGTGGGAGAGGAAGGTGCGGAGCTGGGAGGGGTGGGGAAGGAGGGTTGGGGGGGAGGGGGTATGGAGTGGAGAGGGGAGGGGATAGTACCTTGGGCCTGGATGAACAGTGTGCCCGCGTTGTGGGGTCCCAACTCCATGCAGTGGGGCAGACGTGGGTCTAGGAGAAGCAGGTGCGGTGCAGATCTGGGAGGGAATGAGGCGGAGGGGAAAGGAGGAAAAATGGCAGTGGCTTGTGAGAATGATGTGGGAGACAGTGCCATAAGGGTGCGAACGTGTGGTCCAGGAGACCATATAAAGGAAGCCGATGCAGAGCTAGGGTGGAGATGTGGGAGAAAGTGCTGTAGGGGCTTATATTTCTCGGTGTATGGGACGCAGGTGCAGAACTGGAACTGGTGGGGGAGGGGGGAGAGGGGGGAGGGAGGGGGGGGGGAGGTTGGGGGAGGTGAGAGCGGGAAAGAAGGGTGGAAAAGCGGGGAAAGCGGAGGAGCGGGTAGAGGCAGATATGAAGGAGTCACAAGGCGTTGGTGTAGGACAGGAATCACACATGCGATTCTGGATGGATGGGGAAAGGGGGGTTGCGAATGGGAGTTGGATGGAAAGAGGAAATCAGAGTTTGGGAGGGAGGGGAAGGTAGTTGAGGGAAGATGGCGGAACGGGTCCCACCTTGGCTGCAACCAGCTTCTTAACTCACCTGTCCTGCTGTGACCTCCCTCCAGCCATCTCATCCCCCCGCCCAGCCACTTTCACCCACTCCTCACCGAATCTCAGCAACTCCCACCTTGGTGGCGCCCAGCTGCTCAATGCCACCATTCACTTCACTTATCGCCTGCGCATGACTCAAGAGATTCCTACACGCGACTCCTCGTCCCGAACCAACTCTCGCCTTGGCGAGATCCAGCTTGTCAACCGCCCCCGGGCCCCGTCCACCCATCGTTAACACTCCAGGCATCCCCTATGGCCTCCGCCCGCCCCAGCAGCACTCCCCATCCTCCTCCCCTTCACCCCGCCTTCACTCCCCTTCCACCTCCCTTCACTGCTCTCTCGAGTGAACCTCACACACGCCCCTAACCCACAGATTCCGCACACCGACTCTCACATACATACCCACCCATGACCGACTCTCACCTTCGTCATCCATCCGAAGCCACAAGAGCAGTAGATATGCCGAAGTGGCATGTGTGAGCAACCATGCGAAGCTCGGGACCTGGATCTTACTTCACTTCTCATTGTGTGCTTTCGACCTCAACTATATAGACCTGTGGGGAGGTGGGAGCAGAGGCGCGGGGATTGAGGACAACATGAGCGGAAAAAGGGGGGGGGGGGGGGGGGGGGGGGTTGGAGGGTGACGTGGGGGAAGGGGGAAGAGGCAGAATGGGAGAGAGAAGATGGAGCAGTAAATAGGGACAGGGGGAGGTCAGGAAACCAATATCAGCGGCAGTAACTGTTGCAACACGTGGATGGCACAATGACGCCTCAACAAGCTGTGCCACGTGGCATGCGACAACTGAATCTCCTTTATCCGTCCAATCTTCCCCGCACCATCATCCCTTCGCCTTTTACTTTATGCATCATGAAATGTCCCATTAACCATATCTGTCACGTCAGTAATCTAAGCACCGGAATAAGCGTCTTGCTGCTGTGACGCCATGCGTTGAATGCTCAGTGAAACACAGAAAGCGCAGCTTACCATCAGCAATTCTCCGTCCTTCCAACCCCTCCAACGAAATCCACCGCATCTTCGACGCCCCAACAAAAAAGCCTGAACAGGTCGAGGCGGCCTCGGTGCATACCGCCTGTGCATGCGGCCAAGTCGCCATCCTATATCAGAAATCCCGCGAATGGGTGTCGCGATTTGCCTGAGCAGGCAACAGGGACTGCCGAAGGAAGGCTGCATCACTTGTGCGGCGTCGCACTAGCATCACCAGCCGCAGCAACAGCAGCAGCTGCGCGCCGTCGCGGCGCGAGGCGAGAGCGAGCAGCAGCATTCGCAGCAGCAGCGGCGGAAGCTGCGCGCCGAGCAAGGCGGGAGTGCGCGATGTGGGGAGAGTGATAGTTGTCTCGAATGGACTCGAGTCTGATAATGCCGCAACCTAGCAGCGGCTGGCGACACGGGCAGGAGGACGTGTCGTTGCTGTAGCTGCTACTTGAAAATAATGTCTGTTTGTGGCTGCAGGGGCTATTGATGGGACTAATAGTGGATTGAGTTGACATCGACGAAGACGCTGGCGACGATTCCGCCAACGCGACGATGGAGCGGACGGAAAAGCGGGTACGGTTCCATAGACAGCTCGTAGAAACCGCCATGTATTTTTCATGCTTGAGGGAGTGGACTCGTGAACTGAGAAGCTATGCACGGAAGGTTCAAAAATAGGGTTGGAGAGCTGTGATGATTATAGAACAGAGATTGATATGACGAAATGTGTGATTGATACACGTTCACAACCTAGCTTAGCGAGATTCGTGGTGGCGAGGTTTGGGCAACGGCGAAAACGAAAGGTTCGGAATCGATTCGACTCAGCTTCAGTTTCGTCAACTCGGCCGAGCCTGATCCCCGTCATGTTCGGGGCTTCGTCCGATACCTAAAATGACGCCACCAAACCAAAATCAAACCGAACGCACAGACAGAAGTTTACGCACACCAAACCAAACGCCTTCCCAGGAACCAAAATGCCAGCCAAGCTTGGCGTGACAGACGTACACATTTTGCTTCGGCACAGCAAAGCCGGAGTAGCTGCTAGTTTTTCGCAAATCGGAACCTCGTACCCTTCGGTAAGTCGCACAATGCGGCAGCGACATGAACATACTCAGTAACCCTATAATGTTTGCTTCCACGAGGCAGAATGACGCTCGATCAGAAAGCTTACTAGAATCCATTCGCTGATGTCCGATCTTTTCGCGTTCGAGGCTTCTAGGCTCTGCTGTGCGTTTTGTCCATTTTTTTTGGCGCCTACGAATTGGTCGCTGTGCTTCGCTGTCGGTTCTGCCAGGTTCGGTCGTCGTGATGGGTGCTTTGAGCTGTAGGCTCGGCGCACTTATGCTCTCCATGCAGTCCGCAGTGTGACTATTGACCCCTCCCAAGGTCCGTTATTGCTTTCATGTTGCCTGGCTGAATGTGGTGATGTGTCGCCATCATCTTGCTGTCGTTCGCCTTGTCTCGCCACCATTTTCGAGTTGTCACGGCCATTTCTATATGTCACGCTCATTCCGAAAGCCACGCCCCCGTTTCACCATGTCGCGCCGCCATCCGCTCAGGCGACGGTGAGTCGCACTTGCACCGCTTGCATTTTCTTGAGAATGCGCTCCCTGCATGCTCTCCGCGCTTTCGCCTAGAAGTACGAGCGGTGTTACTAGCATTACAGGCCGCGCGCGCGTCTAGTGCTAAGGCGCGACTGGGGGCCGTGGCTTCACGCGGTCAGCCGGCTGTAGGCTCCTTGAGTCACCGAGACCTGATGGCGTGGCATATGGCGGGGCCAAACCCGTGGTTTAGTTTGGCTCCTGGACGCAAAAGCGGATGATCGTAGTAGCGCGGCTCGGCTGCGTGCTTGCCATGTCCTGCTGTGGTGGCAGTTGGTACGGCGAGCACAGCGGCGTTTCACGCGTAGCGGCGTAGCTGAAGCTGAGGTGGGCGGGCGTTCCCAGTGGCATGACAGCGAGCGTGAGAGAGCTCATTCCCCCACGCAAGGCGCACTGCGGACCTGACAGCACGCGATGCCTAGGGGGGCTGCGTCTGTGGGAGAGCTAAGTGCCGTGAGGCTGCCTTTACGACGTGCCGCGTATGTGCTTGTACCTTGTCGCTTGGGGAGCGCATCGTTGCTTTGTGCATCTTCGCGCTGTGTATCGTTGCGCTGTGTATCGTTGCGCTGTGTATCATTGCGCTGTGTATCGTTGCGCTGTGTATCGTTGCGCTGTGTATCGTTGCGCTGTGTATCGTTGCACAGTGTATCGTTGCGCAGTGTATCATTGCGCAGTGTATTGTTGCGCAGTGTATCGTCGCTCAGTGCGACTGAGTCAACCCCCCTATGGACACCCCCTCAACTGTCGAACTGTCCTTGTCATTGAATACAAGTGGTACAGCAAAGTCGATGGTAAAGAAGCAAGGTAAGAACGCATAAGCCAACCTAAGCAAAGAATAAAGCCCTGACAGGTATGTGTTACGAGGGGGGAAGGAAATGAAAAGGAGGTGGGGGGAATGGGGGTGGTGTCATGGGGAGTGGGGGTGCTCGCTCTCTCCTGCATCCTAGCGCTCTCCCTCTGCCTCGCTTCTGCCTTCCCCTCCCCTCTCCCGGTTTCATTAACTCCCCTCCCCCTTCCCTATCGTTCCCCCCTGCCGCTCTTACCAAGCGTAGACCCATCTCCTGCCCCGCCATGCTCCCACTGCTGCTGCTCACCTGCTTCTGCTCGCGCTGCATGCTGGTGGCGGGGTGGCAAATACAGGTGGCAGGCTGTGAGTGCGCCCGAGCGGGTGGTGAGGCAGCATGGAGTGGTATGGGAATGGGGTGGTATGGGGTGATGCAACGGAATGGGAAGGTATGGGGCGGTGGGGCGGCGGCATGCAGGGGTGGTGTGAGATTTAACATGCGAAGATTCGCCAATGCCACTGTGACTCTCTTTCACCGCGTTCCTCAGAAGCGCTCTAGCCGTTTCGCATGTTGTGCAACGGTCAATCCCTCTCCTGAACGCACAACTCACCCTTAACATCCTTGTTCCACCTCTCACTGCCCCCTCTTTGCCTCTCCATGCCCCCTCTTTGCCTCTCCATGCCCCCCTTCCTATGCTACTACCCTGTTATCACCCCGCCTTCCCTCCTTTCCCTCCCTTTCCTCCCTCCACTCCCTCTTCTCATCCCCTCTCCCAACAACCCTCACTCATCTGTCACACAACCCCATCACAAAAATCCAGCGTCCAGAAAGCCAATGAAAAGAGGCTCGTTGGAGCTTTTTCAAATGATTTAGAAACGTAGGGTTTCAAACGCTTTTCTGAGAAAGTATAGGTCGTTTTCCAAATGCGTTGTCGAATGCTTTTCAAATGGTACTCGAATGCTTCTCTGTCCAAAACTGCATCTTGAATACCTTCGACTGACGTTTGGTATGAGTTTTTGCGAAGTGATTTTGGAGACTAGATCTGATTGCATTGTACTCTTCAGTGAGTTTGATGTTGACTTCATACTACTAATTATTGGACATTCCACAAACGTTATTAATATTTTTAAGAGGGCCTCTTCCGGTCCCTGCGTGCCCCCATGCCCCTCCCCATGTGGATTCCCTCCCCCCACACTCCACCGTGCCCGCTGACCTCCGTGAGCCCGCGGCTGCACCCCCTGCGTCCAACCCTCTCCGGCCTTCGCTGGCAGTCAAGCTGTTCCGCAGGCGCTGGCGGCATGGGGGCAGCTTGGGGGCGGCTGGCAGGCGTGGTCGGGCAGCAGTGACTGCTCAACCGTGCAGGGCGTCACGTGCGACGCTCATGGCAAGGCAACGTTGTCTCCCTGGTACGTGAGGCATGTGAGTGCTGCTCCAGCGCATGTGAGTGCTGCTCCAGCGCATGTGAGTGCTGCTCCAGCGCATGTGAGTGCTGCTCCAGCGCATGTGAGTGCTGCTCCAGCGCATGTGAGTGCTACTCCAGCGCATGTGAATGCTGCTCCAGCGCATGTGAGTGCTGCTCCAGCGCATGTGAGTGCTGCTCCAGCGCATGTACCAGTGCTGCTCCAGCGCATGTGAGTGCTGCTCCAGCGCATGTGAGTGCTGCTCCAGCGCATGTGAGTGCTGCTCCTGCGCATGTGAGTGCTGCTCCAGCGCATGTGAGTGCTACTCCAGCGCATGTGAATGCTGCTCCAGCGCATGTGAGTGCTGCTCCAGCGCATGTGAGTGCTGCTCCAGCGCATGTGAGTGCTGCTCCAGCGCATGTGAGTGCTGCTCCAGCGCATGTGAGTGCTGCTCAAGCGCATGTGAGTGCTGCTCCAGCGCATGTGAGTGCTGCTCCAGCGCATGTGAGTGCTACTCCAGCGCATGTGAATGCTGCTCCAGCGCATGTGAGTGCTGCTCCAGCGCATGTGAGTGCTGCTCCAGCGCATGTGAGTGCTGCTCCAGTGCATGTGAGTGCTGCTCCAGCGCATGTGAGTGCTGCTCCAGCGCATGTGAGTGCTACTCCAGCGCATGGGAATGCTGGCTCCAGCGCATGTGAGTGCTGCTCCAGCGCATGTGAGTGCTGCTCCAGCGCATGTGAGTGCTGCTCCAGCGCATGTGAGTGCTGCTCCAGGGCATGTGAGTGCTACTCCAGCGCATGTGAATGCTGCTCCAGCGCATGTGAATGCTGCTCCAGCGCATGTGAGTGCTGCTCCAGCGCATGTGAGTGCTGCTCCAGCGCATGTGAGTGCTGCTCCAGCGCATGTGAGTGCTGCTCCAGCGCATGTGAGTGCTGCTCCAGCGCATGTGAGTGCTGCTCCAGCGCATGTGAGTGCTGCTCCAGCGCATGTGAGTGCTGCTCCCAGCGCATGTGAGTGCTGCTCCAGCGCATGTGAGTGCTGCTCCAGCGCATGTGAGTGCTGCTCCAGCGCATGTGAGTGCTACTCCAGCGCATGTGAGTGCTGCTCCAACGCATGTGAGTGCTGCTCCAGCGCATGTGGAGTGCTGCTCCAGCGCATGTGAGTGCTGCTCCAGCGCATGTGAGTGCTGCTCCAGCGCATGTGAGTGCTGCTCCAGCGCATGTGAGTGCTGCTCCAGCGCATGCGAGTGCTGCTCCAGCGCATGTGAATGCTGCTCCAACGCATGTGAGTGCTGCTCCAGCGCATGTGAGTGCTGCTCCAGCGCATTGTGAGTGCTGCTCCAGCGCATGTGAATGCTGCTCCAGCGCATGTGAGTGCTGCTCCAGCGCATGTGAGTGCTACTCCAGCGCATGTGAATGCTGCTCCAGCGCATGTGAGTGCTGCTCCAGCACATGTGAGTGCTGCTCCAACGCATGTGAATGCTGCTCCAGCGAATGTGAGTGCTGCTCCAGCGCATGTGCGTGCGTGCAGTGCGGCAGATGGGACGCACCATCAACGTCTCAGCCATCCCTCTCCTCACCTCAGTACATTGCCCCATCTGTAGTCCTTCCACGTCTCCCCTCCCTCTCCCTCTCCTAATCGTTCATTTTCCTTGCCCCAACCTTATACGTCCAACCCCATCCAACCCCATTTCGTGTATCCCATCGATCCCCATGTTTCTACATGTGTGCGCCACACATGCAGCAAGCCGAGAGTGAATCATCTGAACATCTCCAAATGACATGAGCAAACCTCCTTCAGTGTCACCTACCTGTCAGTACCACCCTTACCCCTCCTACCTAGTCCATCCCACAACTCCTTGCTCTGTCCCTGTTTCATTGCATGAGTTTGCGTCACATGCCAGGTAGTCCCATGCTCTCTCCCTTTCTCGGATCCCTTCTTGACCATCTCTCCTCTGGAGGAACCGGCTGAGTTGATCAGCTTGTTGACCAACCTGATGTGAGTGATCTGCGCAGAACTGGCTGAGCTGATCCGTGCCTGAGTCCCTTATCTGTCGCACCTCAACCAACTCGCCACACTGTAATATATCCACTGCACTGAGAGATCTGGGCAGGCTCAATTGCTGAGGGGTGTCACTGGGTCGAAGAGCATCACAAAAATCATATGACCAGAAACCTATTGTAAATAGTTGTGGTGAAGTATTTTCAAATGCTTTTAAAACGTAGGGGCCAAAACGCTTTTCGGTGAAAGTATAAACATTTTTTCGAATGCTTTGTCGAATGCTTTGCAGGTGATGACATGTTTGTATTACCTTCAGATTAGGGTCTGTCTGAGTTTCTTCGGAGATGTATAAGACTTCGTTCGGAGAGTTCAGGGAGATTACTTTCCACTCATATACTCTTTAGCAGAGCTTAGGACCAAAGTTCAAGAAGATTGTATATGAACCTTTATCAAGTGATTCTCGTTGTTTGATGGAAGGTCTATTAGCCATTCTAGGTGTACACGCACATCATGAATGCATTGCTCAATGATTATTAATCTCATTACAGAGTTGGCTTGGCACACAAAACAGCTGCCTAAACACGCGTTGCGTAGTCCTGCTAGGGTGGATTAATCTGCACCATCCTCCTACCTACTTCGCAAGCCATCATCGGATGCAGCCCCGCCCCATCTCTCCAGCTCTTGGCCCTAGAGAGTTCTTGACTACAGATACTGCTCCATCTAATGCTAACCTGCACGGCTACACACTTCCTGTCTCCTCTCTTGCTTATACTCCTGTCCCCTTGCTGTCTCCACGCTGCTGCCCCCTATGCGGTCTCCTCTCATGCCTGCTCCTGCTGCTCCACATTGGGCCTCTCCTGGAACTCCCCTCTTACCTCCCGGCCTCCCCCCCCTGATGCTACTCATGCTGCCTCCACTGCTCCTCCACTACTGCCTCACATGCTGCCTCCACTGCTCCTCCGCCACCCAGGCAACCTGCAAAACGGTCGCATATTAAATATGCACTCCTCCCCTACTGCCACGGGATGTTGCCTCCCCCCTGCTGCCATTCAATGTTGCCTCCCAAGCTGCCTCCCTTTGTTGTCTCCCCTGCTGCCATTCTAGTTGCCTCCCATGCTGCCTCTCTCTGTTGCCTACCCTGCTGCTGTTCAATGTTGCCTCCCCTACCCGCCTCCCTTTGTTGCCTCCCCTGCCCCTTTGTTGCCTCCCCTGCTGCCATTCTATGTTGCCTCCCATGCTGCCTCTCTCTGTTGTCTCGCCTGCTGCCATTCTATGTTGCCTCCCCTACTCCCTCTCTCTGTTGCCTACCCTGCTGCTATTTAATGTTGCCTCCCCTGCTGCCTCCCTTTGTTGCCTCCCCATTCTGCCTCTCTGTTGCCTCCCCTGCTGTCATTCTATGTTGCCTTCCCTGCTCCCTCTCCCTGTTGCCTCCCGTGGTGCCTTTCTCTGTTGCCTCCCCTGCTGTCATTCCCTGTTGCCTCCCGTGGTGCCTTTCTATGTTGCCTCCCCTGCTGCCTTTCCTTGTTGACTCTCGGCTTCTTACCCTTGTTGCCTATCCTGATGCCTTTCCTTTATCCATACCCGTTAAACGCCCCTGCTCTCCCCGTTAACCGATACCCTCCTGCCTCACCCGATGCCTCTCCAACTTCCTCCACTGCCACCCGTCCTGCTTGCCCCCTTGTCTGCCTGCACATCACTTTCCCCTCCTGCCACCCATGTTTTTGCCTCTCTTGTGCCTTCTGCTCCCTCTCAACTCCTTCCCCCCCCTGCTCATCATCCTCCTCTTCCTCTTCCTCCTCTTCATCCTCCTCCTCATCCTCCTCATCCTCATCCTCCTCCTCCTCTTCCTCCTCTTCCTCCTCTCTTGCTCCTCCTCCTCTTGCTCCTCCTCCTCCCTCCTCCTCCTTCTCACTGAAATCCTCTTGCTCCTCCTCCTCCTCCTCCTCCTCCTCTCGTTATCAGCCTGAGCCGTCCCCCGGAACGCCTGAAACCCGGACTCATGTACATAGAGCCCACGCGTGCCCCACTTGAAGCCCTGCAACTCTGCGTTGTACACGGGGTGTGGCGTGTAAAGTGATCCCTTACAATCCTCCGCACCCCCCGAGTCAAACTCCTCATCCATCTAGTGTTTTTCCTGTGGGAGTTCGGCAGGTTCATGTCGGTCTCCTTGAAGCGCGCCAAGCCTTGATCAATCTGAAACGGGTTTGGATTACAGGGACCAGCAGCAAGGCAGAGTTGCATGTTACCGGTGTTAGCCCCCAAGGGTCCCAAGTCGTTCACGTGCAATAGAAAAGATTGAGCATTAGGGCAAGTACATGTGATTTACAAAACCAGTCTCACCACCATGAGTGACCAGGCTATGTGGTACGTCTCTTTAGGGCCAGCCTGCGCCCAACAGCGTAATCCCGAAATGATGCCTTCACCGCATCCACAACCGGGCGTTGGCAAAAGGGAGCCCGGATCTGCCGTTCCCCCACGAGCTGACCCGCTCATTCCCTCCTACAAGGAGGCACAACCATGTGGGGAAGCACGGGGTATGTTTTATCATCAAGTAGTGGGGCAGGCAGTGTTTGGAGGTATGTTTGGGCATCGTAAGAAGGGGCAGGCGGGCAGAGGGGTTTGGGTGAGGATCCTGGGGTGGGGCAGGCAGGGCAGAGGGGTTCGGGTTTAGGATCCTGAGGTGGGGCAGGCAGGGCAGAGGGGTTTGGGTGAGGATCCTGAGGTGGGGCAGGCAGGGCAGAGGGGTTTGGGTTTAGGATCCTGAGGTGGGGCAGGCAGGGAAGAGGGGTTTGGGTGAGGATCCTGAGGTGGGGCAGGCAGGGCAGAGGGGTTTGGGTGAGGATCCTGAGGTGGGGCAGGCAGGGCAGAGGGGTTTGGGTGAGGATCCTGAGGTGGGGCAGGCAGGGCAGAGGGGTTTGGGTGAGGATCCTGAGGTGGGGCAGGCAGGGCAGAGGGGTTTGGGTTTAGGATCCTGAGGTGGGGCAGGCAGGGCAGAGGGGTTTGGGTGAGGATCCTGAGGTGGGGCAGGCAGGGCAGAGGGTTTGGGCGAGGAACCTGAGGTGGGGCAGGCAGGGCAGAGGGGTTTGGGTGAGGATCCTGAGGTGGGGCAGGCAGGGCAGAGGGGTTTGGGTTTAGGGTCCTGAGGTGGGGCAGGCAGGGCAGAGGGGTTTGGGTGAGGATCCTGAGGTGGGGCAGGCAGGGCAGAGGGGTTTGGGTTTAGGGTCCTGAGGTGGGGCAGGCAGGGCAGAGGGGTTTGGGTGAGGATCCTGAGGTGGGGCAGGCAGGGCAGAGGGGTTTGGGTTTAGGGTCCTGAGGTGGGGCAGGCAGGGCAGAGGGGTTGGGTGAGGATCCTGAGGTGGGACAGGCAGGGCAGAGGGGTTTGGGTTTAGGATCCTGAGGTGGGGCAGGCAGGCCAGATGGGTTTGGGTGAGGATCCTGAGGTGGGGCAGGCAGGGCAGAGGGGTTTGGGTTTAGGATCCTGAGGTGGGGCAGGCAGGGCAGAGGGGTTTGTGTTTAGGATCCTGAGGTGGGGCAGGCAGGGCAGAGGGGTTTGGGTGAGGATCCTGAGGTGGGGCAGGCAGGGCAGAGGGGTTTGGGTTTAGGGTCCTGAGGTGGGGCAGGCAGGGCAGAGGGGTTTTGGGTGAGGATCCTGAGGTGGGGCAGGCAGGGCAGAGGGGTTTGGTTTAGGATCCTGAGGTGGGGCAGGCAGGGCAGAGGGGTTTGGGTGAGGATCCTGAGGTGGGGCAGGCAGGGCAGAGGGCTTTGGTTTAGGATCCTGAGGTGGGGCAGGCAGGGCAGAGGGGCTGGGGGTTAGGGTCCAAGTAGTGGGGCAGGCAGGACAGAGGGGTTTGGGTGAGGATCCTGAGGTGGGGCAGGCAGGGCAGAGGGGTTTGGGTTTAGGTCCTGAGGTGGGGCAGGCAGGGCAGAGTGGGTGAGGATCCTGAGGTGGGGGCAGGCAGGGCAGAGGGGTTTGGGTTTAGGAATCCTGAGGTGGGGCAGGCAGGGCAGAGGGGTTTGGGTGAGGATCCTGAGGTGGGGCAGGCAGGGCAGAGGTTTGGGTGAGGATCCTGAGGTGGGGCAGGCCTGAGGGGGGCCAGAGAGGGTTTGGGTGAGGACCTGAGGTGGGGCAGGCAGGGCAGAGGGGTTGGGGTTTAGGATCCTGAGGTGG